GAGGAGGAGGAGGAGAAGGAGGAGGAGGAGGAGGAGGAGGAGGAGGAGAGAGGAGGAGGGAGGAGGAGGAGGAGGAGGAGGAGGAGGAGGAGGAGGAGGGAGGAGGAGGAGGAGGAGGGGAAGAGAGGAGGAGGAGGAGGAGGAGGAGGAGGAGAGAGGAGGAGAAGAAGAGAGGAGGAGGAGGAGGAGGAGGAGGAGGAGGAGGAGGAGGAGGAGGAGGAGGAGGAGGAGGAGGAGGAGGAGGAGGGAGGGGGGGAGGAGGAGGAAGAGAGGAGGAGGAGGAAGAGAGGAGGAGGAGGAGGAGGAGGAGGAGGAGGAGGAGGAGGAGGAGGAGGAGGAGGAGGAGGAGGAGGGGGAGGAGGACCGGAACAGTCAGATCGTCGCAGACCTGAGTAGACGCGGCCCGCCGACGCCCCGGTGCCCGCGCCCAGCCCTCCGCACGCCCACGCCCACGCCCTGCCGTGGCCTGGCGCGGCTTCTCTGCCGCCTCGGAGCCCGGCGCGGTGGGCGCCATCGCTTTGTGCGCGCGGGCCTGCCGACGGCCCTCGCGCTGCCAGCAGGGACGCCGCACACAGGGCACGCAAGGGGCTCTTTTTGTTCTCCGGCCACGGGGAGCCTCTGCTCCCAACCGGGCTTCCCCGACCGGGGGACCTGCGGCACGGCCCGGGAGGCCCTCCTGGGCCACTGGCGGCCCAGCTTCTCGCCATCACTGCCATAGAAGCAGAACGAGGGAGGAGGAAGGATGGGGAGGCCCTCCTCCTCCTCCTCCTCCTCCTCCTCCTCCTCCTCCTGGACTCCTCCTCCTCCTCCTCCTCCTCCTCCTCCTCCTTCTCCTCCTCCTCCTCCTCCTCCTCAGACGGCGCCTGGTGGCAACCCGAGGACTGGCACGAACGCAGCGGGTCCTGGTCCTCGGGGCCAGCTCCGCATCCCGAGCCCGCTTGTGGAAAGCTGGGCCCACGGGAAGGGGCCAGGCCTCTCTCGGGAGGCACGCTGCGAAACGAATCACGACGTTGGATGTCTGGGCTGGCCATCTCTGCGATCCCCCAGCTGCAGGGATCCAGAAAGGCGAGGGACGAGCAGCCGTCTCATGCGAGCACGCAGTCACGAGTACTCTGATGGAGAACCCTCCTGGGCTGGAGCTTCAGCGCCGAGCTCGCTGCTACTAGAGAGAGTGCGAGACCGTCCTAGTTTGCCATGGCGGATAGGGTTGAGGCATCGCGTCTGGGGCAACCATGAGCAGCAAGAAGCCGCAGCGTCTCGTTCGAAGCACGCGCACCTCCTGCAGGGCGCTCCTGACGGAGTGGAGGCGCAGCCCTCTGGCGATCGGTAGTTGCACCCTCTGTCCGATGGTTCCGCGTCTGGTGCATAATGCCCCAGCTTTGCGCGAAGCCCAGCCTTCCAGAGCAAACTAGAACTTCCCCTCCTCACCCTCCTCGCCCTCATTATCCTCATCGGCCTCCTCCGAGTCGCATTCGTCCCCCGCCACATCCTCATGTCTACGAAAACATGCAACAAATTGAGCCCGACCCCACCGGCATCACGAACACTACCACGAAAGCGCTGGGCAAGTGCCAGTACCTGGACGGGGGAAAAGCGGGATTGGGGTATCGGGATTCCGAAGACGTTGGGCGAACAAGGGGAAGCGGCTGATGAAGAACTTCGGAGGGAGAACTCAGGGGGGGGGGCAGGTGAGGGACACTCAAGGGTTGGAGTCGGGAAAAGGGGGCAGGACACAAGGGAAGAGGGTGGAAGGACGAAGGGAGAAGGAACCAGAAGCGAAAGTGGTAGCGGAGGTGGGGCTTGAGGCGAATAGGGAGATCAGGCGGAGGCGGAAGCATGTGGAAGCGAGAGCGGAGGAGGGAAGCTGAGGCCAAATTCGAGGAGGGGCGTGGGGGAGGGAAGCGGGGGGAAGCGCACCCCCCGTCCCCAAGATGCGGCACGGGGAGCAGCACCCCTCGGGAGCGGATTCCACGAGCCGTGGTGCGAAGGCCGCGCACGACGCCGTGGCCGCGGCGGCACGAAATCCCCTCCTCGATCTTGCGACCCTGCCCCCCGCCCACTGGGGCACTGGGGAGGGCGGAGACGGAGCAACAGCAGGAGGATGAGGGTGGGGAAGAAGCGGGGAGACGGAAGACTCGGGTTCGGGGGACTCAGGTTGGCCTGACGGGGCCGCCAAGAAAATGACGAACCCACATCCGAAATTTGGCGCGAGTTCCCGCTGCAAACGTCCCACGAAAACTGGACCGTCAAAACCCAGGATGGGCTCGTCAAAAAGCGTGAGCAAACCCGAGCTCTGGCGAACTCGAGTCTTACGTTTCCCCGAAAGGAGGGGAAGGAGGGGGAAGGGAGGGGAAGGCAGGCGAGGGGGAGGCCACTGAGGCCGCAGGCCGCATCGGCGCTCCCGTGCGTTCGCGCGGGCAGCCTGGTGCGGCTGGCCTCACCGCCGGTTTGTCGTCGCTGGGCGTCGCTGCGGGACTGGCCCACCCTTGCCGACCGCATCCGCGCTGAAACGAGCTCATCGCATGACGGCCGCGTACCGAAGCGAGAACCAACGACCGGCTCTGGAACCGAGCCGGCCGAACGGGACCGGCCGAACCGGCCGACGGATGTCTTCGTGGCGATTGATGTCTTCGTGGCGATTGAATCGCCACGAAGACGCCTTCAACAACACTCGCGTCGACAAGGAGGGCGCAAGCAAGCGTCGCCTCCACGACTGGTCCGCCGTGGCCCGCGTCGACTGCTTGTCCCCATCGACACGAGCAAGGAGGGATGAAGGAGGGAGTTGAGGAGGAGGGGGGGATGGAGTAGAAGAAGGGGGCTAGCAGAAGGAACTAATGCATGAGGAAGACGACGGCAACGAGGCGACACAAGAGAAGGACGAGGCGGAGGAGAGAAAGCAAGCCCAGCGAGGGACCCAATCCTTAGCGGCTTCATGCAATGTGACTAATCAACTTCTCTAGGCACGATCCTTGTGAGGGATGAGCTGGAATGTGTGGGGGGGGCGTATGCATACTTTCCCACTTGGGCCCTAGGTGGAACTCCCCGCAAAACAAAACCTGTGTGAAGGTTGTGCCGAATTTGGCGGGCGGAGCGTGTGCGAAGCCTGCCTTTTGGGCCACAAGTGGAGCTCCATGGGGGCGCAGGGCGAGGCGTCGGATAAATGGCGAAGACGTCCGATGCGAGAGAATGATTCCTGTATACATTGTGAAGACGTCCCGCGCGAGAGCGCGATTGGGGAATCAATTGTGAGGGAGTATCTGGTGATTGAATTCCAGGCTCAAACTTGGGGGATCTACGATAACTTACATCAAAGCAGACATGTGTTTTTCGGACGTTTGCCAGTAGGCACTTGGCGAGGAGTGGAGCGCGCCCGGTGATTGAATTCCAGGCTCAAACTTGCACGCGCCCGCCGCCCTGGCAGTGCGAAAGCGGCCGGGAGCGACCGTCGCGAGTGGGAGCCGCTGTTGTTGCAACCTGGAGCCAAGACAAACAATTCTGAGACCCAAGACTTTCCCGGAGTAAAAACAGGCTGCGAACCCCTGGAAGGGCACTTCAATTGAAAAACGCATGTTGTGCTCCGGAGAGGGGGATCAACAATAATTACTCTTCAGCCGTCAAAATTCAACAACAACAACAGCAACAACAACAACAACAACAACAATCACAACAACAGCAATCAGTTTAAGACTGTTCGCCCTTATCTGCTCGAGTGTCATTCAACGTGTATTTCCCAAACCCTCGATACCCGCCCTCTTCGTCATCAATAGTGCCCCCTTTTGGGGGGGCATTTTTTCCCTGCAGACTGGGCCCAGGCAAGCGGCGGGGTGGCCGCGGACCGTCGGCTTGGCGAGCGGCAGCGCTGACCGGCGGCAGCCCGATCTCAAGAGGGACGGACAGGGGACCGACCACGACGACTACAACGACGACGGCGACGGCAACGACGACGACGACGACGACGAGCGAAAGCGAGAGCGAGAGCGACAGCGGGGCCACGAAGGGCAGTGATGGGGCCACGAAGGACAGCAACGGGGCCACGGGGGGCGACAGCGGGGCCACGAAGGGCATGCGTATGGGGCCACGAAGGGCGCGAACGAGCGGGGGGCCACGAAGGGCAGATGATGCGGGGCCACAGATGGCAACGACGGGGCCACTGCGGGTACCAACGGGGCCATGTAGGGCAGCGAGGGGGCCACGAGGGGCTGCAACGGGGCCACGACGGGCAGCGAGGGGGCCACAAAGGGCTGCAACGCGGCCACGAAGGGGAGCGAGATCCCGATTCTGGGGAAGTCCTAGGCGTGAGCGCGACTCGTGGGTGCCTGAGTGTCGGGAGCGCGGCGCTTGAGCAAATTGCGGGTAATTCCAACGCAAGAACGCAATTCTTGAATAAATTGCAATCGAATATCCAGCGAGAACGCGACTCCAGAGCGCCGAGAAAGCGATGCCTGAATAATTTGTAAGGAAGTCCAGAGCGACAGCGCGATTCGTAAGTAAAAAGCGAGGAAGTCTCAGGCGGGAGCGGGGGTCCTGGCTTAATTGTGGGAGGTCTCTGGCGGGAGCCGTTGTTGTTGTTGTTGTTGTTGTTGTTGTTGTTGTTGTTGTTGTTGTAACCCGGGGGTCAAGGGCGCAGTTTAACTCTTGTGACTTTCCCTTATAAAAGAACAGGGTGCGAGCCCCGGGGGAAACACTTCAATGGAACAAACGCAATGGTCACCAGAGGGGGGATCAACAATTAATTAATCTCCAACAATCAAAAACCAACCATAACAGCAACCGCAACAGCAAGAGCAACAACAACAGCAACAGCAACGGCTCACGCCTGATATTTCCTCACAATTTACTTCAACATCGCGCGCTCGCGCCGGACTTCCTCACGGGCTACGCAGGAATCGCGCTCTCGCGTGGGATTTCCTCGCAATGTATTCAGACGCCGCGCCCTCGACACTCAGGAATCGCGCTCTCGCTTTGGCCTTTTCTCACGATTTACTTGGGAACCGCGCTATCCGTCGAGCTCTCATCGCGATTCATTCAAAATTAACGCTTCAGGAACACGCCTTCTCGACCTGGCCGCTTGGGCCCGCCTTCCCGACCCGCCTGTTAGGGTCTACCCGCCCGATGGGCCCGTCTGGTTCTGCCACGTGGTTTCGGCTCCTAGCCCCCTCTCCTGCTAATCTCGTGCTCCAACCTTCTCCCTCCCTCTTCCATCAGTCCTCTCTTCCCCTGTTTCAGGGACTGCGCCAATTACAAGCGGTAGATCATGAAGATATCCCCCAGGGGGGTACGATCGCAAACGAAGATGGCTGGTACCGAGGGTTTGGGATATACGTGTTGACTGGCACGCGAGCGTGTATGAGCGAACAGTATTCAAAGTCGTAGTACTATCATTACGACTAGCAACATTCGCAATATTACTATTCTTAGTATTCTTATTACTACTATTACTATTCGTATTCTTATTGTTATATTTGTTTTTTTGTGTTGTTGTTGATGCTTCTGTTGCAATTGCAACTTTAGGGTTCCGATTCCGAGCTGTCCCCGTTTTCTGGCAATTCGCTGCCCGTTTTGCCCAGGTGCTCGCTGCAAGGTTCGGCGTACGCTGTACTCCGTGCTCGCGTGCCCGCGTGCCCCCTCGCCTGTCCGAGCCCTCTTCTGTACGCGCTCGGCGCGTTTCCGGCGCGCCTCCAGCTCCTCCCTCGGAGCCTGACCTGTCCTCTGCCTCCAGAGCTGCCGCTTCCAGCCGGCGTTCCTGTTCCGCTGCCGCTCCCAAGTCGCACACCGTGGTCACAGCTGTCGAGTTCAGATGTGGGCCCGCTGTCAGCTCCCCGATCGCGAAAACTGAGGAGTGGGAAAGAAAAGCGCCCTGAACCACCCGACGGTTCGCTCGCTTCGTCAGTGTCGGCCCGAACGCAAAGGAAGCGGTGCACAGGAACCTTTCCTACGCGTGAACATGGTCACGAGGGGGATGAGGAGCGGAAAAACGGAAGAGTGCCCGACGAGCGAAAGCTGCAAGCGGCGTTGCGCTAAAACGCCTGGCGGCCCCAAGCGGCTTGAGATTTTCACCAGTAGCGCGCATCCGTTGGATGATGTCCCACGGGCCAGGCTGCCTGGCCTGTGAGCTCGCAAGCGTGCAGTTCGCATCACGAGACAAGCGAAAAGACATCTCAAACCGGACCCACAATACGCAATACCAATCGAGAGAGAGAGGGGTTCAGGCCGATGCTGCATCATGCAGAGGTGTGCCACCCAGGCCGCAGCAGCCACTCAGAAGCATCGTCGCAACACGTCACCCTCAGGGATGGCAGCTGCACGCGACGTCTGGCCATCGTCAAACACCAGAGGAAGGAAGGGGGAAGGCGAAGGGAAACAAGAGAGCGGAGATACGGCCGCACGAACGTGCGCAGAGCGACAGACCAAAACATCTCGTGCGCGCGTAGACCGAAACCTCCTAGCATCGCCAGAGGCGGCACTTACCCGCACAGCGATCTCTCACGAGTGTAAAGCTGACCTTTTCAGAGCAGGGCGAGCTACGAAGAGCCGAAGTCACCAGCGCAGCGCAGGAAACCAAGAATACAAATACGAATCATGAGAATGAGAACAAAGAAAAAAATATACATAATAATAGTTATAATACTTAGAAAGATGGCAATACGAATGCTTATCAGAAGAACAACAAAAACGGAGAAACAAGAGCAGGCCGTTTTGAGAGACGAGCTAGCCTCCTCCTCCTCAACACCCCCAGATTTGCGACGACGCAGCAGCCTTGAGTCTCCAGGCCCCGGGCTTGTCGACCTTTCCCTGGGGCCGGCTTTTCGTTCCGAGTCGTGGCCCGCCCTCTGGAAACCGAACATGCAGAAGAACTTCAGACTCGATGCTTCCGAGTGCGTGGAGATCTTGGCCCTTGGAGGTCTCCCGGATGGGGTCAGAGCAGATGGGGTCAGAGGATCGCACCACATCACCGAGCGCATCAAGGATGCATCGGTGATGCATCGGCGATGCATCGGCGCCGTCGGCGTGGAGAAAATCGGGCTCCACAGCGAGCCGCATCGCCGATGCATCGGCGATACGGCGCGATCCTCCGACCCCACCAACTCGAACTTCATCCGGAAGGCCTACAGCTCCTCCTCCCCCTCTTCCTCCTCCTCTGTCTCCTCCTCCCCCTCCTCCTCCTCCTCCTCCTCCTCCTCCTCCTCATCATCATCATCATCACCATCACCATCCAATCAGCACCATCATCATCATCATCGTCATCAGCCCCTCCTCCTCCTCCTCCTCCTCCTCCGCACGGTTGCTCCCCTCTGTCTTGTCTTGTCTTGTCTTGTCCTGCCCTCCCCCTCGGTCTGGCCTCCCTCCCTGCTGCTGCTGCTGCTCCCCCCCTTCCGGCTAATAGGATATCGAACTCCTCGCAGTCTGGCTTTGCACGCCGCCAGGCTTGGACGCGTCGGCCACCGCCACTGTCGCTGTCGCCGTCACCCGAGTCGGTGGCCCTGACGAGGGGGTGACGGCGGCAGTTGCAATGCCGAGGCGCGCCCAGAGTCCAGCAAGGGATGAGGGTGCATTGCCGAGTTGTCTGGCTGATGCTCTGGGGGGGGCCTGTGCTCAGGGGAGGCTGCAGCACCGCTCAACGATGTGCTGTCAACCAAACCTGCAGGGTGGGCCCTTTCCATGTCTCTGTTCACTTCAGCTTTGGCTTCAACTGCAAATGCACCGCGACGCGCCTTCGGGCCGGCTCATCCGAGTCGGATTTTCCGCTCGCACGGGTGCTCCTACCCCCCTTCTCCTCCTCCTGCTCCTCCTCCTCTTCTTCCTCCTCCTCCTCCTCGTCCTCCTTCTCCTCGTCTCCCTCCCCCTCCCCCTCCCACTCCCCTCCTTCTCCCTCCCCCTCCTCCTCCCTCCTCCTCCCCCCTCCACCTCTCCTCCTCCTCCTCCTCCTCCTCCTCCTCCTCCTCCTCCTCCTCCTCCTCCTCCTCCTCCCCCTCCTGCTCCTCCTCCTCCTCCTCCTCCTCCCGCCCTCGTCCTGCGGACTTCTCCGCCGGAGCCCCGCCGCCGCGTGCGCCGCGGGGGGGCGTGTGGGCGGGATGGGGCGGCGGCGCCACTCGCCCCCGGTCGTCGGGCCCCCGTCTGACCTGGCCTGGGCCGCCGTCCTGCCGGCGGGGCGGCGGGCCGCGGGCGGAGATCCCAGGATCCGAGCAGGGACCGGCCGTCCCGCCATTCCTCTCGAACAAGTATCGTGTTGGGAGGGAGGTCGGGTGTTGCTAGAAGTGCCCCTGGCCCAGGGTGCCCCCAGCTTTTCGCTCCATTTTTGAGCCCCTGGGGCCCTCTGGGCCTCGTGAGGGGTGCCCTGGAGGCCGTCTGGGCCACCCCGAGAATCCTGGGGGTACCTTGGGCCAGGGGTACTTCTAGCAACACCCGAGAAGGGGTTGGGAGGGTGAAGGGTAGGAGCAGCAGCCTCCGGATGCAGTGAACGCTAACTTTTCGGCCGCCTAGGAGTAATGGTATCCTCATCTATCCCGATCCCTTCCTCCCAACCAGGTAGCAGTCTTCCTGATACAGGGCTCCCACGACATTGTCTCATAACGAACAAGTATTCGAGTGCAGAAAACACAGTTCTTGGCACACGACGCCGATGTAGTAGAGCAAGGGAGTCTCAGGCGGAAATGCTCTGAGAACATGTCGTGCAAACCATGACGTGTTCTTAGCAGTCTTTGGTGGGCCCTGTAGGCAAGCCAAGACGCTTTGCCACTGCTCGACAAATCAAGGCGCTGCAACCAAAACAAAAACCGTGACGTCCGCGTTCTCGTCGTGTTCGGCCTCTGGGCCCGCTTCCCGGCCGCAGGACCGTCCAAGGGACCACTCGGGCGGAAAAGCCCGGCCCGGGAGGAGTGGTCGCGCTACCCCCGGGAGCCGACGCCACGAAGAGACTGCAGCGTCGGAACGGAGGGCAACACGCAGCCCGAAGGAGCCCGTCTTCGCGTGAGGGACGAGAGGGGATCAGAGCGACGATGCTTCACAGTAGGGGCTCAAGCACAGGACACCCTCCACAAGAAACCCAACCCTGAGACCCCAGGGGGTCCAATGATGTTTGGCGTGGGCACGTCGCGCTTCCCATCGCAAAACCCTCCGAAGCCCAGGAAACCCAGGGCACCCTGGAGGCAAGCAGGGCGTCTCTTGGCACGGGTCTCCACCGCACTGTGCTCGCTGCCCTTCCAGCAGAAGTGCTCAGCGTCACTCGCCATCGCTCGGACGTCCGTTTCCCGTGCATTTTTCGGTTTCGTGCGTGTTTTTTGTTGCTCGATGGTCCAGGATCGTCCTCAATGGTCCTCGCTGAGAAAAAATGCACACGTCCGAGCGATGCCAAGGTCAGGCCTGAGCTTACACTGCCCGAGCCAGAACGGCTGCGGCCGCCGCGCGAAGCGCACGCGGCCAGTCCGAGGCAGCGCGGGCCCGGTGCCGCGAGGGCGGGCCAGGCCCTCGTCGCGCTGCGCAGCAGCCACGACGGGCCGTGTTCGGCCTCCGGGGGTCCCTCGCCGGCCCCCGAGACCATCAAGAACATCGATCTGTCTCTCATGAGGCTCGAGAAACCCAGATATCAGCTTTCGGTGCGTTGAGCTTAAACAGTAAGAAGGGTTGACGGCTCACGCGATGCGCCGTCATATGCGATTGCCTCAGCCTGAAACGCTGCGCATGACGGCTGTAAGCACGTGCCGTGTGCAACGAGCGGCTCGAAAACAAGTTTTCCACCAGCCTCGCACCAGAGACCGACGATCCAAGCTGCAGCGGCGCAGTCATCTTTGCTGCATCCCGACCCCTTCCTCAAGGCTGATGTCTCATCCCGAACCGTTCTGTGGACGGCCCTGAGGCCCGAAGACTGGCCTCTGGGCGCAGGAGACAGCCACTAAAAAAACGGCAACCTCGCCTTTCTGCTCGAGGCACCAGATGTCGTGAACCACGGGGCGCATGGGCTCGCGACGTCCGCTTCCAGCTGGAAGCCCCGGCCAACTGCCATGGGACCACACCTCTGGGGCACAAGTTGCGACACATCACAACGTCGGGGGTCTGGGGGATGGAGGAGGCGGCAGGAAAGGAGGGAGAACGGGGGGAGGGGATGGTTCCTCCTCCTCCTCTTCCTCCTCTTCCTCCTATTCGTCCTCGTCCTCCTCTTCCTACACCTCATCCTCACCATCATCATCACTATCAGCATCACCAACATCAACATCATCGACATCATCGTCGCCATCGTCATCACCATTCCCATCATCATCATCATCATCATCATCATCATCATCATCATCATCATCATCATCATCATCATCATCATCATCATCATCATTTTCATCATCATCATCATCATCACCATGAACAACAACAATTTCACCATACATGCAAGTATGTAGGCCGAACAAATCACTGCGGGGCAATACGTGTCGTGCAATGTATGTAGTGCAACACAGATGGTGCAACCCACGCGTGCGATCTATGTGGCAGAATGTATGTGGTGCGATGTATGTGGTAAGATTTACGTGGTGTCATAGATGCTGTACAATATCGAGATATCTGTAGAGCACACACATTAGTATGTACATTTATGTATTTATATATAGAGAGAGATGCGTGTACATATCCATATGAATATATGTATGCCTGCCTGTATACATTATCTGTGTGTGCGCGTTTTGCGACACATGTGTTGCGATCTACGCTGTGGAATATATGTGGTGCAGCCTATCGTGTGCGATACGTATGGTGGAAAATATGTGGCGCAATTGATTTCTTACATGTGTTTTTGTGTTCGTGATTTGCGGTGTTGAAGGCATTGCGAAACTGAAATGTTTGAGCGATTTCGGCACGCGGGCGCGACGACGCGCGCGTACGCGCACGTCGTCTGCTTTGTGTTGCAAGGGGTTCTTGTAAACTGATGATTTGTGATGAACGAATACGCGCGCATACTATTCTTGGCAAGCGGATGATGGTGGGGCGAACTAAACTTGGGCTGGGATGATACGTGTTCATACTGAAGATGAACGATGGAGCAGAATTGTGTGCAAATTGCAATGCGAAAAGAGAGCCCATTAACCCCAGGGGGGGATCCTAATATCTTTAAGGAAAACATCTGCATACATATGGTATCACAACAAGGATGTTCAAAAAAACTTGCGCTCGCGCTCTTGCATATCCTTGATATTCTTGAGAGAACTGTATGTTTGCAGCATCTACACAAACTGCTACGAAACTGGCCCATCGCGCGCATGCCGATATTCTTCGAACGCCCTTGCGCGCGTGCTGTCGCAAGAATCGTTTGCAAGGAATGGGATGACATGCGCACGCGCGCGTCGTCGCGCGCGCATGCCGACATCGCTCAACAATTTTAGGTGTCGTAAGGGTTTCAAAAACGACTGCCCCGGCGATATACATATATACATATATATATATGTATAAACACATGGCTTTGCAACATCAGTTTTCACAGAAAGATCCGGCGTTCGCGCTCTTGCGCATTCTTGTAAAATCCATCGGTTTTCAACGTCGCCATCTAATTCTGCCGAGCGGGCCTCTATCGCCGCATGTCGAATTCATCCGAACGCCCTTGTCCGCGTGCTTGGGGGGCACGATCCGTTTCAAAGAATACCACGTGCGCCACTCGCGTTCGCCGGCCGCGCGCACCGGCCGCGCGCACACGTCAAACTCCTTCCAACGCCTTCATCGCCGACGCGAAGACAGCGTCTTCGTTATCTGCGGGCGTGATCAACATTGGCGTCGTCATTGGCCTTGCTTTCATCATCGCCACCATCGTCACCGTCATCGCTAATATCATCGTCGTAACTGCCGTTGCCAGCGTCGCCATGATACCGCGCCCGCCAAAATCACCGACTTGCATTGAAGTGCCCGCTAGGAAATGCCCAGCGGTCAGCGCCACCGCGGCGGCGCCAGTCGCGTCGCACTAGCTGGCAGCTGCGCGCGCGAGCATGCGCAGGCTAGCGCGGCCGCAGAGATGCACCAGCCAACGCCAAGCACTCATCGCAATCGCCGCCGCATGGTTTTTGCAAACCAAGTTGGGGGCGGGTGGGTGGGAAGATTGTGCGAACAGTGGAGTTGACAACTCGCTGCGAGCTTTTTTTTTTGTTGTGACGCTCGATTCTGAAATTGTAGAAATCCTGGCGAACCCCCCTGGTTTCGGACGGCATTTGGCATGCGCGCGCGACGACGCGCTCGTGTGCACTTCTTCATTATTGTTTGCAGAAGCTCTTGGAAACAAACGATGTGTGATAGTTTTTTTGCAAAAGATGAAGGGGGAACCGATACTGGCCCTCGTGGGATAGTATGAACTCATACTTACGATGGACGATGGGGCAGAATCATATGTAAATTGCACATCACCAGGGGGGGTTGCAATACATGGTGTACAACCTATGTTGTGTACAACATGTAGTGCAGCCTGCGTTGTGCAATCCATGAAACGCCAACTATGTTGTGCAATCTATTCGACGCAATATATGTCGTTCGGTCTACATGGCGCAATCTATGCGGTGGAAGCTATGTAGTGCGAGAAGGAGGAAGAAGAGGAGGTGTGATCATGAGGGGCCCGACGAGGGGGCAGCAGCAACAGCGGCGGCGAAACGCGGGAGGGCGCAGAGCGTGGGGCGGTTCCTGTTGTTGTACCCCGCGGCGAAGGGGCTCGGCAACTGGCCGGCGGAGCCAGTGACGGGGGAAGGGGAAAGGAAGGCGGAGGAGGAGGAGGCGGAGGAGGAGGGGGAGGAAGAAGAGGAGCAGGATGGAGGAAGGGAAGGGAGAACGGGGAGCAGGAGGAGGCAATGGGGAGCACGAGGAAGAGCAGGAGCAGAAGGAGGAGGAGGAGGAGGAGGAGCAGGAGCACCAGCAGGGAGGCGCGCCGCACAGGCGGCAGCAGCGGCAGCAGTGGGCACCAAGGAGCCGCGGCTGGCCCCCCTGCGGCCAGGCAGGGGGGGAGCGCCGGCAACTGGCCGGCGGGCACCGCGAACGAACGAACGATGATGGGCCGATTGTCCAGCACCACCACCATAGGTAGGAGAGGAAGGAGCAGGAGGAGGAGGAGGAGGAGGATGAAGAGGAGCAGGAGTACCTCCACATCCTCCCTTCCTCTCCGTCCGACCTACAACCAAAAATCCGATCAAGACAATTATCCCAGTGCGACCCTACCTAGGAGTTAGAGCATCTAGGAAAGCAACATCTACATCTACACCGACAGCTACATGTACATCTACACCTGCATCTACATCTATATCAACATCAACAGCGAGACTCACGTCTATATCTACATCTACACCTACATCTACACCTACATCTACATCTACATCTACACCTACATCCACATCTACACCTACACCTACATCTACATATACATCTACACTTTCGCATTGGTTTTGCTTTTGCGTTGCCTTCGCTTTTGCCAACAATTTTGCCTTTGCTTTTGCTTTTGCTGAGCACCCAGGGAGCGCAACCGGGGGAACCGCCCGGGGCGGTTAGCACTGCCCGGCCTTTTAAGCCAACGAGTAAGAAGCCTTCTAGGCAGAGCCTAGGTAGGGAATTATCGTTCAAAAATCTGGGCCAGCTTAGCGCACATGTCTTGAAACACAAACCTTGGCCAACGTCTGCTGCTCACGCTGGAGGGGCGAACGTGCTCACGAAACTGGTCCAGCTTGCCGGCAAGCTGGTTCAGAAAATACGGCCCAGCATTTCGGGAGGAGGTCTCTTCATCAAGCGAAGGAAGCCCGGCGGCCCGCCATTCGAAAACGGGCGGCCCGTGCGGGTGGCAGGCGCACCGCTGCAGGCGGCCGCGCGGGCAGCGGAAAGGACCTGTGGGCAAAAGGCTGCCCCGTGGAGCGCCCGCACCTGGCCAGCGAGCACCGCGAGGGTGAGGAAGTACGTCGTGAAGCAAGCGGGGCACGGGGGAAACGGGTCCTGAGCTTTTTCGCCGTGTTCGGGCAGTCGGAGCCCCCCCCCGGGCCCCAGGGCAGTCACAGACTGCTCGGAGCGAGGAGCTCGTCCTGGGGGAAGGCCCCGTGGTCCAGGACCCGCTTCTTTCGGGACTGTTCTTCCTTCAAGCCAGGCAGCTCGGAAGAGTTCAGCTACTTCAGTCCAGTCAGCCCGCGGAGGTCTCGACAGCTGCAGCCGTCGCAGGCTCTCGCGCCTCTGGTCGTCGCTCTGCGACGCCAAGCACGGGGCCCGCTGCTGGCTAGAGGGCCCAGTGCGTCTCGAGGCCGACGAGGAGGGAGCCACAAAGGGAAATATGAGAAGGAACGTTAGGGGGGGGACGGGCTCAGGGTGGCACACATCCGGCTGGACTCGGCGCTAAAGCGCCGATCGGTCGGCGATGCACCCCCGATGGCGAAACCGCACGTGCCTGGGCAGGGTGGTGGGCTATCAGGCCCCAATCGGCGATCAATGGGCGAGACTGGGGGTCGATGCGTCCCCCCTTGAGCCCATCCCCCTTACAGTCAACCCGCGCAATGAGGACGCACGACAAGGATGCAGGGGCCTTGGAGGGCCATGTCGACACTTTGCGAGCGGGACGCGGCCAGCGCAAGCGGCTGAGAAATGGCCGACGGGGAAGCTGGGGAAGCATGCTCGGGTAACCCTGGAGAGGTGTTCACCCTCACTCTGCGGGTTGACCGTAGCGTTAATTCTGAGACGCCCGGCCGCGCGCAACGGGGGCCGCCTGGTTGAGAGCGCGGGGGCGGGCGGCAAGGGATCCCTGGGCCGATATGGCTCGACGACACGCTAGAGGTGACCCTGGGTAAGAGTGACCTTTGGCGCGCGGCTCTTTTGGAGCCGCGGGGGGACCAACACGCAGGTGCGCAAGAGGCTGCTACCGCATCGCGTTCGGCGATCGGGGGACCCCAATTTGAGCAAGGACCGACCGCCCCGGCATTCCTACAGGCCGATCACGAAACATAAGACGATGTACCAAAACAAGACAGTCCCAGCCCGAAATGTTCAAAGAACATTTCCTGGAAACCACAAAAGGTTCTT